GTTGTTGTTGATATTCAAAATTGTTGTTCTAACTCTCATAATCTACCACGATTTTTTAAGGATGTTAGTAGTTGTGGTTGTGGTTGTTTAAATTCATTATTGTGTTGATAGAAGTTGTTATTGTCCCCCCAAGATTGTTGTTGCTGCTTCCTGATTGGTTAATGAGACACGGTGAAGTTGCTATTGGTGGTTGTGTTTAGTTGTTGTGGACGAGATATCACCTGCGTTAATTAACAGGTGTTGTGGAAAGTTGTATATTGGTTGTGTCAAGATGTTCTGTTGCCTCAAGTTATCCTCACCTCCCCCCAAGTGCCACCCCACAGTGCCACCCCCACAGTGCCACTCTCCAGTGTCACCCCCACAGTGCTTGGAGGAGGGAGAGCCACACCCCCACAGTGCCTGGAGGAGAGAGAGCCACACCCCCCACAGTGCCAGCCACACCCCACATTGCCTGGAGGAGAGAGAGCCACACCCCCCACATTGCCTGGAGGAGAGAGAGCCACACCCCCCACATTGCCTGGAGGAGAGAGAGCCACACCCCCCACATTGCCTGGAGGAGAGAGAGCCACTCAACCAGCAACGTTAATTAAACAATACAACTTTACACACGAGTTGGTAATCTTGTTAAGCAGATTCCAACAACGTGCTGGTGAAAAACTTGTGATGGATTTCTATTTGCCAAACAATTAGCAGATTCAGCACTGGTCGCCTCGATATAGAGAATTTAGAGAGATTATTTTATAATTCACATGGACGGCAGAATCAGACTTAATTGAGAGATTATGTGTTAAGTCCGTCGCGTCTAAAAGCATTAGATCAGAGGCAATGAAACGGTTGATTTAGATATTGAAATTGGAATTCCATTTGAGTTCAGTAAAGCGGAGTTTTTCCATATTTTAATCCGGCTGGGAAATTACAGTTGAAACATTTGTGTGTTGGGATGTAAGAATACTTGACGTTATGGCTCACTTTTCTATATACGTGGGTAGAAATTCGACCATCTGTACCCCCGCGCTTGTTACCCTCATCCCCAGAGAGACTTTGTTTACCTCCGTGAAAAAATATTATTGGAACGCTGATGTGCTGTGCTTCTTTCATCTATATTTTAACTGTTTTGAAAATTTATATGAAAAAACCTGTTCGTAAACAAGATAAATCTCATCGCCAGTATAGGCATTCGGTAACGCCAGGCATTTTTTCCGTTTAACTGGGAGTGACACGAAAATTGTCCCGTTTTCTGCTTGAACTGGCGATGTCTTCTGCTTGTACTGGCGGTGGAGTGGGCGGGTCCTGCAGTGAGTGGGCGGGTCTTACAATGAGTGGGTGGGTCTAGTGATGGAGTGGACAGGTGTAATGGTAGAGTGGACAGGTGTAATGGTAGAGTGGACAGGTATAGTGATGGAGTGGACAGGTGTAATGGTAGAGTGGTCAGGTGTAGTGATGGAGTGGACAGGTGTAGTGATGGAGTGGACAGGTGTAATAATAGAGTGGGCAGGTGTAACGGTAGAGTGGACGGGTGTAATGGTAGAGTGGACAGGTGTAATGGTAGAGTGTACAGGTGTAATAATAGAGTGGACAGGTGTAACGGTAGAGTAGACGGGTGTAATGGTAGAGTGGACAGGTGTAATGGTAGAGTGGACAGGTATAGTGATAGAGTGGACAGGTGTAATAATAGAGTGGACAGGTGTAATAATAGAGTGGACAGGTGTAATAATAGAGTGGACAGGTATAACGGTAGAGTGGACGGGTATAACGGTAGAGTGGACGGGTGTAATGATGGAGTGGGCGGATCTCATTGTGGAGTGGGCGGGTCAAGCAGTGAGTGGCCAGGTCTATCATAACGTTATTAAACCAGTGTTGCATTACGTTATTAAACCATTACATTATTACAGCCTAAAACCATTACATGAACATTTTATTAAATACTACACAAGGATCTCTTTACAGTATGACTCCCGTTACAAAATTATTACAATATTTCAGTACTTAACTCACCTGTGGGGCTGTGAGGGCAGGTAATGTTTGGGGGTGTGGGGGGCCTAAGACTCACCTGTGGGAGTGGGGGACGGGGAAGCCGTCCAGGGTCCAGTTAATGTGGGGTGTGAGGGTGGGGTGGGGGATGGGGAAGCCGTCAGGGTCCAGAATGGTAAGGGGTGTGGGGGGCCTAAGACTCACCTGTGGGAGTGTGGGATGGGGAAGCCGTCAGGGTCCAGGTAATGTGGGGTGTGGGGGGGCCCTAAGACTCACCTGTGGGGAGTGGGGACAGGGAAGCCCGTCAGGGTCAGGTAATGTGGGGTGTGGGGGTGTGGGGCCTAAAAGACTCACCTGTGGGAGTGGGGGACAGGGGGGCTGTCCAGGGTCCAGGTAATGTGGGGTGTGGGGGCCTAAGACTCACCTGTGGGAGTAGGGGACAGGGAAGCCGTCAGGGGTCAGAGCCAATGTATGTGGGGGTGTGGGGGTACCAGTTTGCTATACACTTGAGCGACCACAGCTATGCCGGGCTGCAGCGTTTGTTCTATGAAGCGACACCAGGCAGGCAGCTGACAACAGGAGGAGGTAAACATTAGTAGCTGACAACAGGAGGAGGTAAACATTAGCAGCTGACAACAGGAGGAGGTAAACATTAGTAGCTGACAACAGGAGGAGGTAAACATTAGTAGCTGACAACAGGAGGAAGTAAACATTAGCAGCTGACAACAGGAGGAAGTAAACATTAGTAGCTGACAACAGGAGGAAGTAAACATTAGTAGCTGACAACAGGAGGAAGTAAACATTAGCAGCTGACAACAGGAGGAGGTAAACGATAGTCAGACACGTTGAATTCTCTCTCTCTCTCTCTCTCTCTCTCTCTCTCTCTCCTTCCACTTCACTTCCCCTCACCTTCGTTAACTCTGGAACACACACAGTACATTTCCTTTTCCCTCTCTCTCCCTCTCTCTCTCTCTCCCTCTTTCTTGTTGTTGCTTCTCTCTCTATATCACCTCATCCCTTCCATCTCTCTCCCACATACCTCAAGATAACGTATATATCCCCCTTTTCCTTTGATCTCAAGTACAATATTCTCATCGCCTTTTTGAGTGTATAGTTTAGTGGGAATTTCTTGCTTCATACATACATACATACATACATACATACATACATACATACATACATACATGCATACATACATAGTAAGTATACTCTCTCTCTCTCTCTCTCTCTCTTATTTTCTCTCTATCTCTCAATTATCGCCTTGTCTCTGTGTTTATGTCCGCCATTATTCGTTTGTAATATAATAAAGTCGTTTTAATTCCGTATTTCGTAAATTAGTTTAGTTAACGAAGGTCAAATAACGATATATTACTCGATAACGAAGATATTGTGTAGATAAAGAGAAGGAAGGCGCTGACCAATCACAAGGGAGAAGAGGGCAGCAACAGCCAATCAGGAACGAGAAAGGTCGGGGGTCATGGGGGGGGGGAACAGCGGTAAACTCAATGGGGATTTAGCGTAACTTATTCAATGTTTTTAACTGTTTTTCACTTAATAAATGTCATTAAACATTATATTAATTAACCAAAATCATCTTTAATGTTTGTAGTATTTACTCTTGTGTTTGAAAATAACGGATGAAAAGGAGAAATAGCGATAACGAAGGATAAAAGAGAGAGATTGTCGATGTAGAAATTTCATCACCATAGAAAACGGAACTCTTATATCAGGGTCATGACGTCAACTTAGTTAATTTACATATTTTACTAACGTTATTCCCTTAATTAATAATGCAATGCAATTTTTATTAATTTTAATCATAAACTCATAATTTTTACGATTTTAAAGTACTTGTAATGTTTATAAATGTTTTCGTTAATATTAAAGGTTGGATCGTCGGGTGAAATTTGTGAAGACGAAAAAGTTTAAAACATTGTGAAAGTTTTAAGAATTTTAAATTTTTTCATCAAACTTAATGTATTAGTTTTTAAATAGTGATGCGTTATTATTATTATTATTATTATTATTATTATTATTATTATTATTATTATTATTATTATTATTATTATTATTATTATTATTATTATTATTATTATTACTATTATTATTATTATTATTATTATTATTATTATTATTATTATTATTATTAATTATTATTGCGTTACGATAAATCCATCCGTCTGTCTGTTTCATTGTGTGTCTATCCATCTGTCAACCCGTCTATGTGTCTGTCCGTTCGCCCGTCAGTTTGTCAAGGTGAGGGCATTGACTTTTGTGTTTCTTAACTGGTGACGACAATATACCTAACACGAGTCTCTCTCTCTCTCTCTCTCTCTCTCTCTCTCTCTCTCTCTCTCTCTCTCTCTCCTCTCCTCCCTTATCTTTCGTTAACACATGAACACACACAACACATCTCCCTCTCTCTCTTTTTACTTCTCTCCCCATCTCCTCTTTCTTATCTCCTTCCTCCTGCCACGTTTTCTCCCATTCTTTCCTCCCTTCCATCTACTACTCTCTCTCTCTCTCTCTCTCTCTCTCTCTCTCTCTCTCTCTCTCTCTCTCTCTCTCTCTCTCTCTCTCTCTCTCTCTTTCTCTCTCTCTCTAAAACATATGACAATCAACTACAAGGTGTGGGCGTGTGGGTGTAGGTAGTGTTGTAGGGTGTGAGCGTGGGTGTACTAACCTCCCAGGGTGACGTAGGCGTGAGCGTGGGCGTAGTCGTGGGCGTAGGTGGCGGCACACTGGTAGATGCCAGCGTCGGAAGGGTCGAGAGGCGCCACGTGTAGAGACTCTCGTGGGCGTATCCTGACACGACCCCCAGACCTGCAGGTGTGGCACAGGTGTAGTACAGGTGTGTAGTGAGGGTGTAGTGCAGGTGTGTAGTGAGGATGTGGCACAGGTGTAGTGAGGGTGTGGTGCAGGTGTGTGTAGTGAGGATGCGGTGCAGATGTGTGAGTAGGATGTGGCACAGGTGTAGTACAGGTGTGTAGTGAGGGTGTAGTGCAGGTGTGTAGTGAGGATGTGGCACAGGTGTAGTACAGGTGTGTAGTGAGGGTGATTGTGTAGGTGTGCAGTGAGGGTGTAGTGCAGGTGTGTAGTGAGGATGTAGTACAGGTGTAGTGAGGAAGTAGTATAGGTGTATTACAGGTGTGTGGTGCAGGTGTATTACAGGTGTGTGGTTCATGTGAACTACAGGTGTGCAGTGCATGTTTAGTACAAGGGTATAGTACAGGTGTATAATGCAGGTGTAGCTGAGTAGGGGTTATGTATACAGCACATGTGTAGAGGAATTTTGTAACAGGTGTATGACACATGTATACTGTATAGCACAAGTGAGGTGCATGTATAGATAGATGTATTACACACATGTATCACTGAGAGAAAATATACACAGGACAGGTGTAGGGCAGGTGTGTAGCAGATGTGTAGAGCAAAGAGGAAAAATGTTTAAAGCGCAGGTGTGTACCACAGGTGTGTACCAGAGGTGATGTAGAGAAACCTAGCAAAGAGCGAGCACAGGTGTAGAGAACAGGTGTATGGCACATGTATATGGTAGGTGTATCACAAAGGTAGAGAACAGGTGTAAAACAGAGGTACTATAATGATGTGTAGTTGTGGTAGACAGGTGTGGAACTTACCGCAGAAGCAGCAGGTGTGGTAAGATAGGTGTGGAATGATTCACCTAATGAGCTACAGGTGGACAGGACAGGTGTGAGAGAGCAGCAGGGGAAGGGGACAGGTGTGGGACTCAGCTTAAGGGCAGCAGGTATAGGGGCAGCAGGTGTAGGGGAAGCAGGTGTAGGAGCAGCAGGTGTGGGACTCACCTGAGGGGCAGTAGGTGTGGGACTCACCTCAGCACCTGGCCATCCTTGTACCAGGTGACAGTGTCGACAGGTTCACCTGAGACGTGACAACGCAGCTCCAGCCTCCCCCCCGCGTCCACCTGTACCTCCCGGGGTGTCACCTGTAACACGTGTACACCTGTGTTAACACCTATACCTCACGGGGCGTCACCTGTAACACGTGTACACCTGTGTTAACACCTCTACCTCCCGGGGCGTCACCTGTAACACGTGTACACCTGTGTTAACACCTGTACCTCCCGGGCCGTCACCTGTAACACGTGTACACCTGTTAATACTTGTACCTCCCATCACCGAACACGTGTACACCTGTTAATACCTGTAACATCTGATATTAAACAGGGTCACCTGGACACTCACCTGGACAGACAGAGGAAGGGTCACCTGGACACTCACCTGGACAGACAGAGGAAGGGTCACCTGGACACTCACCTGGACAGACAGAGGAAGGGTGACCAACAGGTGTGTGGACACCCTGGTCTCCCCGGCAGTGTTGTTGGCCACACAGGTGTACTGGGCGGCGTCCACCACGCCCACTCGCCCCAGTACCAGGGACCCGCCCACCGTCCACATCCCGGTACTGCCCGTCACTGGCTCCGTCCCCCGGTACCACCTGGGGGAAGTACTTTATTGTATACCATACCTGGGGAAAGTACTCTCTCTCTCTCTCTCTCTCTCTCTCTCTCTACCATGAACATACTCCTTTCTCCCCTTACTTTTCTTCCTACCCTTCTCTCATCTCCCCTCTTCCTGCCCTCCCTTCCCCTTCCTTCCCTCCCCTCCCCCTTCCTTCCCTCCCTCCTCTAGTTCGTCTTTCTCTCATCTCCTCTCTTCCCTCCTCCCTCCCTCACAATCAAAACAAACCCAACACGAACAACAGAGAAGGAAGAAGAAAAAAACACACAATAAAACAAGAGACGTGGAGAGAAGGGAAGGAGAAGAGAGAGAGAGAGAGAGAAAGAGAAGAAGAAGAAAAATAAAAGGAAAGAAAAGTAGAAAGCAGAAGGGAGAAGTAAAAGTTGAGAGGAAGGAAGCCAGTTGACAGTGAGGGAATGGTGGTGAGAGAGAGAGAGAGAGAGAGAGAGAGAGAGAAAGGCAATGAAAGCGTGTGAAAGAAATATTGTGATGAGTGTGACTGAGTGGGAGACACACACACACACACACACACACACACACACACACACACATACACATACACACACACTTGTAGTGGGGTGGGAATGGCCATACTTACGTGTAGTGGGGGGGTGGATGGCCCTGTGCCACACAAGGAAGGGTCACTCTGTCACCTGCCTGGGCCACCACACGGCCAGCTCGTTCATGCATCCGGGGTGGCACTGATCCCTGAGCCTCTGTAATAATTATAATAATGATGATGATTATGGTGATGATGATGATGATGATGGTGATGATGGTGATGATTATGATAATGATGATGATTATGGTGATGATGATGATGATGATGGTGATTATAATAATGATGATGATGATTATGGTGATGATGATGATGGTGATGATAATAAATAACCTAACAGGCAACAATACAAAACACTATGTATTTGTTAATATATGCATGAAATACAGGAGTACATAGGCGTGTATAGCCTCGTATAGCCGTGTATAACCGCGTATAACCGTGTATAACCGCGTATAACCGCGTATAACCGCGTATTACCGTGTATAACCGCGTATAACCGCGTATAACCGCGTATAACCGTGTATAACCGTGTATAACCGTGTATAACCACGTATATCCGTGTATAACCGCGTATAACCGTGTATAACCGTGTATAACCGTGTATAACCGTGTATAACCACGTATATCCGTGTATAACCGTGTATATCCGTGTATAACCGTGTATAACCGTGTATATTCGTGTATAACCACGTATATCCGTGTATAACCGCGTATAACCGTGTATAACCGCGTATAGGTGAACTACAACACACACCTCTACCCTCACACCTGTATGACAAACTTACCCTGAGTGGTGCAAGGTATTGGTGTAATGGCACAGTGCCCCAGGTATTAAGGCACGTACCTGTAGTCTATTATGACACTCACCTGTACTCTGGTATAATGGCACTTACCTCCTGTACTCTCTATTATGGCACTTACCTCCTGTACTCTCTATTATGGCACTTACCTCCTGTACTCTCTATTCTCTGACCGATTTAATGTTTGTAATCAGGAGCCAACTGTACCCTAATGACTTGTTTTTTTAATTAATTACCAAGCTATTCAGGTGTCATTAGTATACATACGACAATTGACTTAATTACCGAGTTCTCCATTTTCCCCCATCTAATTACTATGGATATTCTTCCTGTTTTTTTTTGGTGTTTTAAAGGTGTTTTGTGGGTGTTTTTGTGTAGGTTTTGGGGTGTTTTTCCCTGTGTTTTATGTTTTAAGTATACATACATACATACATACATACATACATACATACATACATACATACATACATACATACACACACTTCCTCCCCTTCCTCACACATTAAACAAACACAAACACACCACCACTCCCCCTTATTTACACCCATACCCACACCAAACAAAACAAACAAACACACACACACACACACACACACACACACACACACACACACATTCCACTAACCCCTCATAGACAAAACAAAACAAACACAAAACAAACACACTCCCTCCTGTCCACACACCCACCAACCCCACACACACAAACAAACAAACACACCCACACACAAACAAACAAACACACACAATCAATAACAATGACAGCGTAACAAGGACACTGTACAAATATATATAATGGAAATATAGTCAGATAATGCTAAGCTTCTTATGCTGAATTGGCTCTTGGGAAGTGAGGTCATTTTTATCTCCACGTTCAGGTCAGGTCAATATTATATACTCGTATATTACAGGTTCCTTAAAGCTGAACCCTGAAATGTGTATGTGTCTGGGGTGAGAAACCAAGTAGTGTGTGTGTGTGTGTGTGTGTGTGTGTGTGTGTGTGTGTGTGTGTGATCTTTCCGGGTCAAATGGGGTCAACATATAGGCAAGGGGAGGGGAAAATGGGCGATTTTGGGGTCTCTGTATAAATCTGGGGTCATGTGGGGTCAGGTGTATAGTTCTGGGGTTATGTGGAGTCAAGTGAGTAGTTCTGGGGTCATGTGAGGTCAAAACTCACTCCCTCTTGTCGTTTTCTGTTGACTGATTTTTTTTAATAGATTCTCTCTCTCTCCTTCCTTCCTTCCTTCCTTCCTTCTTTGATCTCTTCCCTCCCCTTTCGTCTCTTTCTCCTTATCTCTCTCTCTCTCTCACTTCTGGTTAGTCTCCCTTCCTGAGAAACAGTATTTTCACACAGGTGCTCAAACTAAAGCTTTCTATTTTTAAGTTTCTCTAACTGGAAACCCATTTATTCTCTCTCTCTCTCTCTCTCTCTCTCTCCCCCTCTCTCCCTTCGTATCACCCCTCTCACCACCTCCCTCCTCCTCTCCCTCTCACATTACAATACAAACTTGAACATTTTCTTTTCTCCCTTTCTACCTCTCACCCTCACTCACAGCTTCCACTTTCATGCCTTTCTAGTGTTTTCTTTCGCACACACACACACACTCTCTCTCTCTCTCTCTCTCTCTTGCCCACTCTCTTTCTCATTCACTTTCTCTTGCTCTCACTCGCTCTTACACTCCCACACTCACTTTCGCTCTCTTTTTCCCACACACTCTCTCTCTCCTCCTCCTCCTCTCATCCTCTCTCTCTCTCTCACTCTCTCTCCCTCCTCTCTCTCCTCCTCTCAATCCTCTCTCTCCCTCTCTCCTCTCTCTCCTCTCTCTCACTCTCTCTCTCTCCTCCTCTCTCTCTCTCTCCTCTCTCTCCTGAAGGTCAGAACACACGAGGTGGCTCAGCTGCGAACCAGTGCTTCAACAATCCCTGTGACCGCTGTGTGTGTGTGTGTGTGTGTGTGTGTGTGTGTGTGTGTGCTTATATTACCTAAATCCTCACCACACCACACCACCCACACACCCCATGCACCACACCCACACCCCACACCACACCATTACAACACTACAACACATTTCATTGTAAGTTACAACACGACAATTTACATTTTTAACACAACACGTCCCCCTAGCCTACGCCACCTCTCTGCTACACGAGTTACATTTATTATTACGCGCTCTCTGCTACGACAGTCTCACATTTTAACTGTACGTCCCCTGGCCACCGCCTCTCTGCTATACGACAGTCTACATTTTAAACGTCCCCTGGCCACCGCCGCCTCTCTGCTACGACAGTCTACATTTAACACAACACGTCCCCCCTGGCCGCCTCTCTGCTACACGACAGTTTACATTTAACACAACACGTCCCCTGGCCGCCTCTCTGCTACGACAGTCTACATTTAACACCTTCATCCCCTATTACCGCCGCCTCTCTGCTACACGACAGTCTACATAACACAACACGTCCCCTGGACCGCCGCCTCTCTGCTACGACGGTTTACATTTAACACAACTCGTCCCCCTGGCCACCGCCGCCTCTCTGCTACGACAGTCTACATTTAACACAACCTCGTCCCCTGTACCGGCCTCTCTGCTGACGTTTTTTAACACAACACGTCTCCACCGCGCTCTCTGCTACGACAGTTCTTTAACGCTTCGTCCCTCCGCCGCCTCTCTGCTACACGACAGTCTACATTTTAACACAACATCCTGGCCACCGCCGCCTCTCTGCTACGACAGTCTACATTTAACACAACACGTCCCCTGGACCTGCCTCTCTGCTACGACGGTCTACATTTAACACAACACGTCCCCTGGCCCCGCCTCTCTGCTTGTCCCGCCGCCTCCTCTACGACGATTTACATTTAACACAACGTCCCCCTGGCCACCGCCGCCTCTCTGCCTCTCTGCTACGACAGTCTACATTTAACACAACACGTCCCCTCAGCCGCCGCCTCTCTGCTACACGACAGTCTACATTTTAACACAACACGTCCCCTGGTACCGCCGCCTCTCTGCTACGAGTTACATTTAACCACGTCCCCCTGGCACCGCCGCCTCTCTGCTACGACAGTCTACATTTAACACAACACGTCCCCGCCACCGCCTCTCTGCTACACGACAGTCTACATTGTTTAACGCACACGTCCCCTGTTACCGCCGCCTCTCTGCTACACGACGGTCTACATTTAACACAACACGTCCCCTGGCCCACCGCCGCCTCTCTACGACGGTCTACATTTAACACAACACGTCCCCTGGCCTGCCGCCTCTCTGCTACGACAGTTACGTTAACACAACACGTCCCCTGGCCACCGCCGCCTCTCTGCTACGACAGTCTACATTTAACACAACACGTCCCTGGCCTACCTCCGCCTCTCTGCTACGACAGTCATTTAACACAACACGTCCCCTGGCCTGCCGCCTCTCTGCTACGATGGTCTACATTTTAACTTCCGTCCCCCTAGCACCGCCGCCTCTCTGCTACACGACAGTCTACATTTAACACAACTCTCCCCTGTACCGCCGCCTCTCCTGCTACGACAGTCTACATTTTGTTGTTTGTGGTTTTTTGTTGGGTTGGTTTTGGTTTTTTGTTGCCCCTCTCCTCTCTGCTGACAGTCTACATTTTACACAAGTTGTTTTGGTTTTCACGTCCCTGGCCACCGCCGCCTCTCTGCTACGACAGTCTACATTTAACACAACCGTCCCCTGGCCACCGCCGCCTCTCTGCTACGACAGTCTACATTTAACACAACGTCCCCTGTCACCGCCGCCTCTCTGCTACACGACGGTTACATTTTAACACAACTCGTCCCCTGGCCAGCCGCCTCTCTGCTACGACAGTCTACATTTAACACAACTCGTCCCCTGGCCACCTGCCTCTCTGCTTTCACATCACGGCTCAGCTCTTTTGTGTATTTTTATTTAATTGTTCTTAACTCTGTTGGCTGTGAGGTTGTGTGTGTGTGTGTGTGTGTGTGTGTCTGTGTCTGTGTCTGTGTCTGTGTCTGTGTGTCTGTGTCTGTGTCTGTGTCTGTGTCTGTGTGTGTGTGTGTGTGTGTGTGTGTTGGCTGTGAGGTGCTTTGGGGAGTAAGTGTTGTTTGTGTGTCTGCATGTATGTTTGGCTGTGTCTGTGTGTCTATCTGTTTCTGTGTTTGTTTGTCTGTGTGTCTGTATGTTTCTGTGTTTGTTTGTTTGTGTGTCTGTATGTTTGTATGGCTGTGTCTGTGTGTCTATCTGTTTCTGTGTTTGTTTGTCTGTGTGTCTGTATGTACATTAAAAATGAACTTCTCATACGAGTTTTCTTTCACCATTGGACGAGGTCACAGGTCACTAGTCAGAGGCACAGGTCACGAGTC